ACAGACTCAGGTCGCGGGGGGGGCCTCAACCCCCCCCCCTCATTCACCCCCCGCCCCCCCCCCTCAACCACCCCCCCGCCCCCCTCCCTCAACCACCCCCCCGCCCCCCCCCTCAACCACCCCCTGCACCCCCCCCCCTCAACCGCCCCCCCCCTCAACCACCCCCAGCCCCCCCCCCCTCATTCACCCCCCCCGCCCCCCCCCTCAACCACCTCCCCTGCCCCCCCCCAACCCCCCCCCCCCCCCCCCTCAACCACCCCCCTGCCCCCCCCCCTCAACCACCCCCCGCCCCCCCCCTTAACCACCCCCCCTGCCCCCCCCCCTCAACCACCCCCCCCCCCCCCCTCATTCACCCCCCGCCCCCCCCCTCAACCACCCCCCCCCTCAACCACACAGAGACCCACAGACTCATCACACAGAGACCCACAGACTCATCACACAGACCCATAGACTCATCACACAGAGACCCACAGACTCACCACACAGAGACCCACAGACTCACCACACAGAGACCCACAGACTCACCACACAGAGACCCATAGACTCATCACACAGAGACCCACAGACTCATCACACAGAGACCCACAGACTCACCACACAGAACCCACAGACTCATCACACAGAGACCCATAGACTCACCACACAGAGACCCACAGACTCATCACACAGAGACCCACAGACTCACCACACAGAGACCCACAGACTCATCACACAGAGACCCACAGACTCATCACACAGAGACCCATAGACTCACCACACAGAGACCCACAGACTCGTCACACAGATACTCACAGACTCACCACACAGAGACCCACAGACTCACCACACAGAGACCCATAGACTCACCACACAGAGACCCACAGACTCACCACACAGAGACCCACAGACTCACCACACAGAGACCCATAGACTCACCACAGAGACCCACAGACTCACCACACAGAGACCCACAGACTCACCACACAGAGACCCATATACTCACCACACAGAGACCCACAGACTCGCCACACAGAGACCCACAGACTCACCACACAGAGACCCACAGACTCACCACACAGAGACTCACAGACTCACCACAGAGAGACCCATAGACTCACCTCACAGAGACCCATAGACTCACCACACTTCTGATTAGCATGGCACACGTACACACACGCACACACACACTCGTACACAAAAACACGTACACACACACGTACACACACACGCACGTACACACACACGCTCATACACACACGCACACACCGTACACACACATACTTGTACACACACACGCACATACACACACACACGTACACACACGTACACACACACACGTACACAAAAACACACGTACACACACACACACGTACACACACACACTCGTACACACACGTACACACACACGTACACACATACACGTACACACACGCACGTACACACACACGCACGTACACACACCCGTACACACACACTCGTACACACACACAAACGTACACACACACATGTACACGCACACACACGCACACACACGTACACACACACGTACACACACACACGTACACACACACACACGTACACACACACATGTACACGCACACACACGCACACACACGTACACACACACGTACACACACACACGTACACACACACACACGTACACACACACGTGAGGTGGCCTCGCTCACGATGACGTTTCGATGTCACCTTCACCGCACCCCGCACAGAGAGAGCGTGGGGAGAGACGCGCGGAGGTGGAGGAGGTGGAGAAGGTGGTGGAGGTGGTGGTGAGGTTCCGGCAGGCAGGGCGTGGTGGTGCGCGTCAGCGCCGCTGGAGACGGACGTGGGTCAACCCCCCCGTGTCCGTGCCCGAGAACCAGCGTGGCCCCTTCCCCAAGCTGCTGCTGCAGGTGCGGCGCTGTGCGCAGAGCGCTCCCATTCTCGCTGTCGTCTAGCCTCATCCTAGACTAGCCCTAGACTAGCCTTAAACTAGGCCTAAACTAACCCTAAACTAGCCCTAGACTAGACCTAGACTTGCCCTAAACTAACCCTAAACTAGGCCTAAACTAGGCCTAAACTAGCCCTAAACTAACCCTAAACTAGGCCTAAACTAGCCCTAAACTAGGCCAGAACTAACCCTAAACTAGGCCTAAACTAGGCCTAAACTAACCCTAAACTAACCCTAAACTAGGCCTAAACTATGCCTAAACTAGCCCTAAACTAACCCTAAACTAGGCCTAAACTAGCCCTAAACTAGGCCTAAACTAACCCTAAACTAGGCCTAAACTAACCCTAAACTAACCCTAAACTAGGCCTAAACTAGCCCTAAACTAGGCCTAAACTAACCCTAAAATAACCCTAAACTAGGCCTAACCTAACCCTAAACTAGGCCTAAACTAACCCTAAACTAGCCTTAAACTAGGCCTAAATTAGGCCTAAACTAGGCGTAAACCAGCCCTAAACTAACCCTAAATTAGGCCTAAACTAGCCCCTGCCTAGGGTTAGGCCCCGTGTAGAAGGTGGAGGTGGTGGAGCTGGATCAGACAGACGAGGAAGAGGAGGAGGTGGAGGAGGGGGAGGAATCCGTAGAGCCGGGAAGCTCTTTTCTATCAGCCACGGGGGGGACACAAACACGCCCAGCGGCGGTGCAGAGTCCAGGGATAGTTCAACAAACACACGGGACGCGGACGGCCGTGATGTCACACACTCACTCATTCACTCACACACTCACTCACACTCACTCACACACACACTCACTCACTCATACACACACTCATACACTCACTCACTCATACACTCACACACTCGCACACTCACCCACACACTCATCACACACTCACTCATACACCCACCCACTCATACACACACTCACTCATACACTCACACACTCATACACTCACACTCACTCACACACTCACACACACACTCACTCACACACTCACACACACTCACACACTCACACACACTCACACACTCACACACACTCACACACACAATCACACACTCACTCACACACACACTCACACACACTCACTCACACACTCACTCACACACACACACACTCACTCACACAACGCGGATGACCGAGGGTGAGCCGGGCGTGAGAGTGCCGAGACTAGTCCGGCGTAGGAGCCCCCCACTCCGCCAACCGCCCCCCACTCCGTCACGGCCCCCCACTCCGCCAATGCCCCCCACGGCAGGTGAAGTCCAACGCTGTGGGCGTGGACGTGCGCTACGCCTTGGCGGGGGAGGGCGCTGACCGACAACCCACGGGGCTGTTCGTCGTCGACGCCGCCACGGGGAGAGTGTCAGTCACCGCGAGCCTGGACCGCGAGGTGATCGCTCAGTATCGCGTACGGAGCACACTACACGACTATACACTATATACTACACAATATACTACACTATACACTACACTATACACTACACTATACACTACACTACACGACACTATACACTATATACTACACATATATACTACACTATACACTACACTATACACTATATACTACACACTATATACTACACTATACACTACACTATACACTACACTATACACTACACTACTATACACTACATACTATACACTACACTATACACTACACTACTATACACTACACTACTATACACTACACTACTATACACTACACTACTATACACTACCACTACTATACACTACACTATACATACACTCTACACAGCTGCACTCTGCTGCTGCTGTTGTTGTTGTGACTGCAGCTGCGCTGCTTCGCAGTCGACCCGACTGGAGGTTTGTGGAGGATCCCGTTGACATCGTCATTGACGTCATCGACGTCACCGACAACCGCCCCCAAGTTCACCAGAGGAACGCTCTTCACGGCAGCCTCACGGAAGGATCGCCACGAGGTGACGATGATGATGGTGACGGATGATGATGGTGACGATGGTGATGATGGTGACGATGGTGCTGATGGTGATGATGATGGTGATGATGACGGTGTACGATGGTGATGATGATGACGATGATGACGATGATGATGATGACGACGATGATGATGATGATGACGATGATGACGATGATTGATGATGATGACGATGATGATGATGATGATGACGATTGATGATGACGAGACGATGCTGATCATGATGACGATGGTTGGATGATGATGACGATGATAATGGCGATGATGATTGATTGGCGATGATGATGATGGTTGATGACGATGATGACGATGACGACGATGGCGGGGATGATGATAGAGGGAATGGCTCCGACTCCGGCCACGTAGTTTTACCCGGGCCCGCTCACCATCATGAAGGTCCTTAATGATTGTGAACAGAGGGTCAGGCACTCCGAAAGCACGAAGAACAACCCAGAGCCCGGCCTACTGATGGTATCATAAGCCTTGACCAGGTCAATAAGCAGAGATGTAGGTCTTGTTGGAACTCCACAACTCTGCTGTAGCAGGCGGACAGAAAATATGGCATCTGTGCAGGACACCACCATTTCCTGACAACCGCATTGGGCTCCGCACGCCTCTCCTCAGTGTGCCTAGCAAGGCGATGTTGAATAATCCTTGCCAGGACCTTTCACGGTACACTGAGGAGTGAGATGCACCCTGTAGTTGTTACAGTCTGTGCGGTCCCCCTTCTTAAAGAGGGGGACCACCAGGGCATCCTTCCAATCCTGCGGAACCCGTCCAGTGGTCCAGACTGTTGTTATGATGTCATGTAGGGCAGTCTGTGCACAAAGGCCACCCTCCCTCAATATTTCACTTGGGAGATCATCTCTGCCAGGTGCCTTTCCTGGTCTCAGACTCCGGATTGCCTTCAGTACTTCCTCAACAGATCTCAACTCAGCTAGCCACTCAAAGGGGGGGTGACTTCTTCCAATATTTGAGGCACCGCAGCCTCAGCAGGGTCATCCCCACTTTGTCCCACGTTTTTTCTAGGCTGAGGGATTTGCCCTCCCCCAGGACCTCAGAAATGCTCAACAAATCTGCCAACCTGTTCCTGGGGGACGGAGATTGGATCACCATTCTTTCTCTTAATGATGGTAATAGGTGTGGCGCTGCAGATTACTTTTTTGATGGAATTAACGAGCGATTTGTGATCACGGGCCATTGAGGCAGACTCCATCTCCTCAGCAACCCGCGACCACCACCCATCCTTGCAGCACCTCACGCTCTCCGAACCTCCGAGTGAAGGCTGCGGTAAGCCTCCTCATTCTCCGACGTGGGATGCTGGTAGCCGATGAGAGCGGGCCTGTCGCCTTTTTCTCAGCCAGCTTGAACACCTCCTCTGTCAGCCAGGGTCTCTCGGGAGGTCTGGAACGTGTACCTAAAGCAGCCATTGCAGCTGCATGAGCCACAGTCCTAAACTTCGCCCATTTCCCCTCGATATCAGGAGGAGTCAGGGATGATGCCAACCCCAGCCGCAAGCGATGATAAAATTCTCGCTTGCAACTTTTATCAGCTAGCTAAGACCAGGCCATTAAGGGTTTGAATGAGGTGCTGGGTGTACACTCACCACCGGAGTGGAAGAATGTCACTTACACACTCATTCACCTCACACACTCATACACTCATTCACTCACTCATTTCACTCACTCACTCATACACTCATTCACTCACTCATACACTTACACACTCACTCACATACTCCACACACTCATACACTCACTCCCTTATACACTCACCACACTCACACATTCATACACTCACTCCCCTTATACACTCACACCACCTCACACATTCATACACTCACTCCCTTATACACTCACTCACACACTCACACACTCACTCATACACACTCACTCACACACTAACTCACTCACCTCCCTTATACACTCACTCACACACTCACTCACACACTCACTCATACACACTCCACTCACACACTCACTCACTCACTCACACACTCCACGCACTCACACACTCATACACTCACTCGCTCACACACTCACTCATACACTCACTCAACAACAACCGCCATTCGCCACTAAGTGGCGGTGACGTCACCACGACGCTTGTGCCAGGTCATGTGCACCTTGAGGCCATGTGAAGTGTCGAACGCCCGCTGGCAGGAGGTCACGGGGCAGACCCAGGTGCCACGGGTCGACTGACTGAGATGACCGAGATGACTGGCTCATGCACCACCTGTGCCCCCTACTGTGCCAACTTGCTGTGCTTTAGCCACCCGGTGCTCCGCTCATTGTTGTGAGCGTCGCTCCTCCGCCCTCCGTTGTTGGAGGGCGACTGCCTCCAACTGCCCAGTAGCGTCCTTCACGAGCCTCCTCCACAGAGGCCGATCTTGATACCGTTGGTACCAGTCATCGGCAAGTCCACTCAGCTCCACGTCCTCCTGTACCACATCACTCCATCTCTTCTCTAGCCCGTGCCGCGCCCGTTTAGCCCCCTCGATCCGGCCGAACAAAAGCTGTTTAGGCATGCGGTGGCTGGGCATGCGGGCTACATGACCCAGCCAACGCAGCCTTGCCTGCCGGAGGAGCTCACCGATGGGACTTTGCCCAGATCTTTCAAGGATTTGTGAGCTCCTCACACAATCCACCTGGTTAATCCCAGGATGGATCGTAGGCAGGCCAGCCTAAATGTTTCCAACCGACGAAGATCTCCATTAGGGGGTGTCCACGTTTTCGCAAACGTAGAGAAGGAGGGAATGACCGTGGCCGAGAAGACCCGAAGCTTCGTGCGGAGCGACAGACAAGGTAGCTTCCACACAGCGTTACGCAACCGATGAAAAGATATTGCCGCTCGACTGATTCGGAGTGAGACCTCTGCTGTTAAACTGGAGCCGGTCATAAGCACACTGCCCAGGTATGGGAAAACTCTCCACTCTCTCCACTACTGCCCCATCACACACACACTCACTCACTCCCTTATACACACACTCACACACTCAATCACACACACACTCACTCACTCCATCCCCTCCCTCTCCCACCTCCCCCTGTGGCCGTGTCAGGCACCTTCGTGATGAGGTGGAGGCGAGTGACCTGGACGACCCCTTGACGCCCACGGAGCTCTCCGCTACGACATCGTGGGGCAGTCCCCCCCCATGGGGACCGCACAGCACAGCCTGTTCCACATCGACTGTCGCACGGGCATCATCACCCACCCGCACTGTGGTCGGGCTGGACCGAGAGGTGGGTGTCACGTGTGTGTGTCTGTGTGTGTGTCTGTGTGTGTGTGTGTGTCTGTGTGAGTGTGTGTCTGTGTGTGTGAGTGTGTGAATGTCTCTGTGAGTGAGTGTCAGTGTGAGTGAGTGTCTGTGTGAGTGTGTGAATGAGTGTCTGTGTGTTTGTGTGAGTTGTGTGAGTGAGTGTGTGAGTGTTTGTGTGAGTGTGTGAGTGAGTGTGTGAGTGTGTGTTTGTGTGTGTGTGAGTGTCTGTGTGTGTGTCTGTGTGTGTGTCTGTGTGTCTGTGTGTGTGTCTGTGTCTGTGTGTGTGTGTGTCTGTGTGTGTCTGTGTCTGTGTGTGTCTGTGTCTGTGTGTGTCTGTGTCTGTGTGTCTGTGTTGGTGTGTCTGTGTGTGTGAGTGTCTGTGTTGGTGTGTCTGTGTGTGTGTGTCTGTGTGTCTATGTGTGTCTGTGTTGATGTGTGTGTCTGTGTTGGTGTGTCTGTGTGTGGTGTGTCTGTGTGTGTGTCTGTGTGTGTGTCTGTGTGTGTGTCTGTGTTGATGTGTGTGTTTGTGTCTGTGTGTGTGTCCTCTCTGTGTGTCTGTGTGTGTGTGTCTGTGTGTGTGTGTCTGTGTGTGTGTCTGTTGTGTGTGTCTGTGTGTCTATGTGTGTCTGTGTTGATGTCTCTATTGGTGTCTATGTGTGTCTGTGTTGGTGTCTCTATTGGTGTGTGTGTGTGTCTGTGTTGATGTGTGTGTGTCTGTGTGTGTGTCTGTGTGTCTGTGTGTGTCCTGTGTTGATGTGTGTGTTTGTGTCTGTGTGTGTCTGTGTGTGTCTCTGTGTGTTGTATGTCTAGGTGTGTGTTGTGTGTCTGTCGTGTGTCTGTGTGGTGTGTCTGTGTGTGTCTGTGTGTGTGTCTGTGCGTGTGTCTGTGTGTGTGTGCCGCTGTGTGTAGAGAGTGGCGCGCTTCTCGCTGGTGGTGATGGCTTCGGACATGGAGGGAGACGCCAGAATCAGTCTCTCAACCACGGCCACCGCCATCATCACCATCACCGACATCAATGACCACGCCCCCGAGTTCACGAGCAGAACCGTACGGCACGCCGCCACCACCACCACCACACACCACCCACACGCACACCGCCACCCAACCTCAACACTGCACCATAGACTCAACACTGCACCATAGACTCAACACTGCCCCATAGACTCAACACTGCCCCATAGACTCAACACTGCCGCATAGACTCAGCACTGCACCATAGACTCAACACTGCACCATAGACTCAACACTGCACCATAGACTCAACACTGCACCATAGACTCAACACTGCACCATAGACTCAACACTGCACCATAGACTCAACACTGCACCATAGACTCAACACTGCCCCATAGACTCAACACTGCCCCATAGACTCAGCACTGCACCATAGATTCAACACTGCACCATAGACTCAACACTGCCCCATAGACTCAACACTGCACCATAGACTCAACACTGCACCATAGACTCAACACTGCCCCATAGAATCAACACTGCACCATAGACTCAACACTGCACCATAGACTCAACACTGCCCCATAGACTCAACACTGCCCATAGACTCAACACTGCACATAGTCTGTATACAACAACAACAACGATGTCCCGCCCCCCGCCCCCCTCCCTCGTCACCACCGCCGCCACCGCCCCAGTGGACGGGCACGGTGCGTGAGAACGCCGTGGGGGTGCCGGTGACGATGGCGCTTCTCTCGGTGATCGACGCGGACGAGGTCGGCACGGCGGCGTGGCGAGTCCGCTACTCACTCCGCGGGGGGGGGCGGGGGGGGCGGCGTGGGGGGCGGGAGACCCCCAGGACCTGTTCGCCGTGGAGACCGACCCCGCTACCAACGATGGCAGGATCGTCGTTGTCAAGGTAACGCTTGGGAGGGAGGGGAGGGAGGGGAGGGAGGGAGGGGGGAGGGAGGGAGGGGAGGAGGGGGAGGGAGGGAGGGGGGAGGGGGGAGGGAGGGAGGGAGGGAGGGGAGAGGGGGGAAGGAGGGGTTGGAGTGAGGAAGGGAGGTAGGGGAGGGGGGAGGAGGAGGGGAGGAGGGGAGGAGAGGGGAGGGAGGGAGGGGGGGAGGGGGGAGGGGAGGGAGGGGGGGAGGGGGGGAGGGGGGGGGGAGGGAGGGAGGGGGAGGGGGGGGTGGAAGGAGGGGTTGGAGTGAGGAAAGGGAGGTAGGGGAGGGGGGGAGGATGGAGGGGAGGGAGGGGAGGAGGGGAGGAGAGGGGAGGGAGGGGGTGAAAGGAGGGAGGGAGGGAGGGGGGGGGGGAGGGGGTTGGAGTGAGGAAAGAGGGAGGGGAGGGGGAGGGGAGAGGAGGAGGAGGTATTTTTTGCACAGACGTCCAGTGGGGGGTGGGGGGGGGGGGGGGTCACGGGGTCAGAACGTCGCCAGCACTGGGGAGACAAAGGCGGCCGGGCGTGCTGCTGGCTTCCCACCCCCTCGTGTGCCACAGCGCCGGCCTTGCCCCTACAGTCTGCTAAAGCTATACGGGGATCTTTGTCTTTTGTATGTTCGTGTGTCCGTGTGTGTGTCCGTGTGTGTGCGCGCGTGTGTGCGCGTGTGTACGTGTTTGTGTGTACGGTGTATGTGTGTACGTGTGTGTACGTGTTTACGTGTGTGTGTGTACGTGTGTGTGTGTGTACGTGTGTGCGTGTACGTGTGTGTGTGCGTGTGTGTGTACGTGTGTATGTACGTGTGTACGTGTGTGTGTGCGTGTGTGTACGTGTGTGTGTACGTGTGTGGTGTGTGTGTGTGTGTGGTACGTGTGTGTCTGTATGTGTGTGTGTACGTGTACGTGTGTGTACGTGTGTGTGCGTGTGTGTACGTGTCTGTGTACGTGTGTGTCGTGTGTATACGTGTGTGTGTGTGTACGTGTGTGTATACGTGTGTGTGTGTGTGTACGTGTGTGTGTACTGTACGTGTGTACGTGTGTACGTGTGTGTCTGTGTACGTGTGTGTGTACGTGTGTACGTGTGTGTACGTGTTTGTACGTGTGTGTACGTGTGTATACGTGTGTGTGTGTCTGTGTGTACGTGTGTGTGTGGTGTACGTGTGTACGTGTGTCGTGTTTGTGTGTACGTGTGTGTACGTGTGTGTACGTGTGTGTGTACGTGTGTGTGTGTACGTGTGTACGTGTACGTGTGTGTACGTGTGTACCTGTGTGTACGTGTGTGTGTGTGTGTACGTGTGTATACGTGTGTATGTACGTGTGCGTGTGTGTGTGTACGTGTGTGCATGTGTGTGCGTGTGTGTGTGCGTGTACGTGTGTACGTGTGTGTGTGTACGTGTGTGTGTGTGTGCGTGTGTGTGTGTACGTGTGTGTCTGTGTGTGTGTCTGTGTGTGTCTGTGTTGGTGTGTGTACGTGTGTGTGTGTGTACGTGTGTGTGTGTGTACGTGTGTGTGTGTGTGTATGTGTGTACGTGTGTACGTGTGTGTGTACGTGTGTGTACGTGTGTACGTGTGTATACGTGTGTGTACGTGTGTACGTGTGTGTACGTGTGTGTACGCCGCAGCCCTTAGACTTTGAGATGGCGTCGTCGTACAAACTCATCGTCGTCGTGGACAACGAGGAGCCGCTCGTGAAATCCGCGTGGACCCCTCCCCAGAGTACCGCCACCGTCACGGTGAGTCACCCCCACGCACCCCCCCCCCACGGCCCCCCCCACGGCCCCCCACGGCCCCCCCCCACGGCCCCCCCATGGCCCCCCCACGGCCCCCCCCACGCCCCCCCCCCCACGGCCCCCCAAAAGCTTCACAGCTGCTCGGATTCTCCCGCCACGAACAAAGATTCCCGCGGAAAAGCCGCCACCCCCGCGTCTCTCCCCGCATCTCTCCCGTGTCTCTCCCACGTGTCTCTCCCCGTGTCTCTCCCACGTGTCTCTCCCCGTGTCTCTCTGTCTTTCCCCGCGTGTCTCTCCCCGTGTCTCCCCGTCTCTCCCCGCGTGTCTCTCACCGTGTGTCTCTCCACGTGTGTCTCTCCCCGTGTCTCTCCCCACGTGTCTCTCCCCGTGTCTCTCCCCACGTGTCTCTCCCGTGTCTCTCCGCGGCGCCAGGTGAGTGTTGAGGATGAGAACGAGGCTCCGCTGTTTGAGCCGCGGCTGCAGCAGGTGCGGCTGTCCGAGGGCGTCGCTCTGGGCAGCGTCGTCACCACGCTGGTGGCACGGGACCCGGACTCCGCACAGAAGCAGAGCCTGCGGTGAGCACACACACCCCCGCCCCGCCAAGCGGATAACAACCACAACAACAACCGCAACAACAACCGCAACAATCAAACAACTGTAGGGGTGTTAGAGAGAGCCCGTTATGCATGGGAGCTTATGGCAAACAAACACAGTGGGCGGGGCTACATGAGTGCATGGGAAGGTGCTCTCTACGACGTCCGCGTCAGGCACCCTGGGGGG